CATCCTTCAGGTTGCTCTAGCTTTATGAAAATAAACTAGATTTACAAGAAACCTACCACCTTAGCTCGTTTTATCATATTTGGCTTCAGAGCAGGCCAACAAAAGTTTATCATGACATTATCCATCAAATTTAGGATAATAGGGGGAGAGGGCTGTAATAGAACGAAAGGATTTCAGCTCAATTGGGAATACTTTATAGCTTAAGCTAGGGAGAGGAACATGGGTGTGACTACCTATTTTATTCATCTTAGATTGTGAATAATGAATGCTCAAAAACTTAGCTCCATCATGGGCCGGCTGTGGGCAATCACCGACTGAGCTAAATGCTTCCATTTCAGCTCAGAGAACCAGTCAGGGACTCCGTGCATTATTTTCAGCAGTCCCTCTGCATGCAAACAAAACTCAGATCTCTACTGGGCGCGGTGGCTCACGCCTGCAATCCCGGCACTCCGGGAGGCCGAGGCGGGTGGATCGCTCGAGGTCAGGAGTTCGAGACCAGCCTGAGCAAGAGCGAGACCCCCGTCTCTACTAAAAATAGAAAGAAATTAATTGGCCAACTAAAAATATATATAGAAAAAATTAGCCGGGCATGGTGGTGCATGCCTGTAGTCCCAGCTGCTCAGGAGGCTGAGGCAGGAGGATCGCTTGAGCCCAGGAGTTCGAGGTTGCTGTGATCGAGGCTGACGCCACGGCACTCTAGCCCGGGCAACAAAGTGAGACTCTGTCTCCAAACAAACAAACCAACACTCAGATCTCCACACTGTTCAGATAATTCGTTGTGTGAGCATTTGTTTGCATTTTATCTTCTATTTGAATGAAGGCATGAAACTGCATAAAATTCAATTATTTCCAAGTCTCTAGAAAACATGATTCCTACATAAAAACAATAGCAAATGCCTGCCATCTTTCAAACAGTAAAAACACTAAAAGTACGTTGAGTGAGGAGCAGGCTTAGGTATTAAAATACATCACCCACGTTTTTTCAGCTTTAAATGGATCTAAGAGGCTTTGAGCAATAAAGGAAGGATGTTTCTATCCGTCATGCTCCAAGAAAACTCCCCAGAGCATCTCTGGCAACGTGGCCCCCAGACCAAGCCAGTGGAGAATCCCTTCCGCATAATAATGTCTTGTTAGGTCCCTTCTCTTTTTATTCTCTCTGATCACCAAAAATGTTCAAAGAGACGAAAAAAAAAAAAAAACCCACAAAAAGCGGAAAGAGATAAATGAAGAGGGACGCGTCTACAGAGACATACCTCACGGCGAAGTGCAGGATGGCCGGGCCTGGTTTCCTGGGCAAGTCGTGGTCAAGAACCCGGTGGTCCAGCTGCAGCCAGTCCTGCTGGCCCCTGTGGGAACAGAGCAGAGGACAAGTCTGGAACCCGAGGTCAGAGAAGCTCAGTAACTTGCATGCAGTGCCGGCCAGGCTGCGGGGAAACAGGCCGGTGGTCAAAGCACAACCCGCCACAATTGGCAACGAGACCCGTCCAGCAATTTCCATCAAAACCGTAAGAGCTCCCGCCTCTGAACCAGCATTTCTGTTTCCGAGAGTGTATGTCACATTTTGCACGTGTGAAAAATGGTCTCTAGGCCGGGCGCGGTGGCTCACGCCTGTCATCCCAGCACTCTGGGAGGCCGAGGCGGGCGGATCGCTCGAGGTCGGGAGTTCGAAACCAGCCTGAGCAACGAGCGATACCCCGCTCTACTACAAAATAGAAAGAAATAATTGGGCCCAACAAAAGTAGAATAACAAAAATTAGTCGGCATGGGTGGCCATGCCTGTAGTCCCAGCCCACTCGGCAGGCTGACAGGCAGAGATCGCTAGCCCAGGAGGTCTGGAGTTCTGTGAGAGGCTGACGCCACGGCACTCCACTCTAGCCTGGGCAACAGAGTGAGACTGCTGCCTCCAAAAAAAAAACAAACCGAGAAGGACCGAAAAAACGGTGCATGCGAAACATGATGGCGCCCGGAAGGATCCGCTGACTGCCTCTAGTGTGACAGGCCCGCCCTCACACAGACTCCATGAAGCAGAGCCAGCTCCTCTTGGGGCCTCCACCCTATCTGCCTGCAACCCACCTGAGTTTGCTTTGCGTGGGTCTCATCAACTGCTTTTTCATTCATTCATTTATTTATTTTGAGACAGAGTCTCGCTCTGCTCACCCAGGCTCATGGTGAGAGTGCCGTGGCATCAGCCTCGCTCCACAGCAACCTCAGACTCCTGGGCTCAAGCGGATCTCCTGCCCAGCCTCCTCCAGAGTAGCTGGATACAGGCATGGCGCCACCATTGCCCGGCCTAATTTTATATATAGTTATATATACGTATATATAATGTATATTATATATAATTATTTTTAGTTGCCATTAATTTTTCCTATTTTTAGTAGAGACGGGGTCCTGCTTTGCCAGGCTGGTCTCTCGACTACCTGACCTGCCGAGCGATCCTTCCCGCCTCGGCCTCCAGAGTGCCTGGATGGCAGGCGTGAGCCACCGGGCCGGCCCTCACAACATGACTCCTTGCCTGCAGTCACTGCCTGGGCCCCCTGGTATCTAAAAGTCCACCTGCCGCTGCAGTCCAATTCGCAGTTACTTCCTGTGTGAAGCTGCTCTTGTCCTCTTCAGCTACTTCTGACATCTCTACTGCATCCACGGCTAGAACAACATGTGACCTCCTTTCATCGTAGGCCTGTGCCATGCATCTGCATTATCTACCTGGTCAGCCAGGTGACCCTACACCCGACAGGGGCTTACCTTGCAGTACTTACTACACAGGTGCTGACTATGTATTTTAAGATGAAGAGAATTGATGTCACGAGATATTCAGTATGGCCAAGGTTAGGCCAGTTTAACCCTGAATCGTAACAGTTGACTCTGTCTGCTCCGGGCTAGAGTGAGTGCCGTGGCGTCAGCGCCCAGCTCTTTCAGCAACCACTCAGACCTGGGCTCAAACGATCCTACTGCCTCAGCCTCCCTCCCGAGGTAGCAGGGACGACAGGCATCGCCCAGCACGCCGGCTATATGGTTTCTATATATGTCTGGCCAATTAATCTTTCTATTTTACCTGTTTTCCCCCAAAATAGACCTAACCATGAACATAAGCCCTAGCAGGATTCTTCTTCTTTTTTTTTTTTTTTTTTAGCAGAGTTCACTCTTTGCCGGGGCTATGAGTGAGTGCCGTGGCGTCAGCCTCGCGTCACAGCAACCTCAGACTCCTGGGCTCCAAGCGATCCTCTGCCTCAGCCTCCCCGAGTAGGCTGGGACACCAGGCCGCCCCACAACCCGGCTCAGTTTTCTAATTTTTAGTAGGACGGGGTCTCGCCTTGCTCAGGTCTGTGTCTCAACCCTGGAGCACAAGGGATTCCTCCTGCCTCGGCCGCTCCCCAGCCGTGCGGGACGACAGGCGTGAGCCACCGCGCCCGGAATATAGTACACACCTATTTGGATCCAGACAACAAAATAAATTATGCCTTTAAGCGTCTTCCCTGCCACACCAAAAACGCGGATCTCAGTTCCAGGATTGAGTTAACAGCCTGGTATTGCCATCGTTGACACACCAGCTCATATTAGCAGTCACAACTCAGTCAACGTGTGAAGACAAACTAACAATTCAAATGACAAACGGGCGGGCGGCGTGCTCAGCCTGTTCATCTTCGTCTATCTGGTAGTGTCTGAGGCGGGCGGTTTTTATCTCTGAGCAGGATGTTCTGATTGTCCTGTGAGTCCTAGCATTATTGTATCTGTTACCTTTTTCCGGCTCACTATAAAATGAAAGAAATAACTTGCAACTAAACATATAGGAACCAATTAAGCCGGGCATCGTGTGCAGTATGCCGTAGTCCCAGCTACTGGGAGGCCTGAAGGCAGGAGGATCGCTTGAGCCAGGGGTCTGAGGTGCTGTGAGCGAGGCTGACCGCCACGGCATTCATCTAGCCTGGCGCAACAAAGCGAGACTCTGTCTCAAAAAAAAAAAAATAATAATAATAACAAACTATAAACCTAAAACAATATTTTGAGTTCCTAAAAAGGTCAATATTTCTTTTCTTCTTCCTTTGAAATAGTCTTAGGGGAAAAAATCCTATATTAAAAAAAAAAAAAACCTTTAAATAAGCAAGACAATATTCTAATTCTTGGAGTATTTTTTTTACCCAAGCAGGGGAAAGTTCTTGGGTAAGTATTTCCCAAGAAGTATGTTTTTGTTTTTGTTTTTTTTCCTAAGAAGTATTTTTTTCACGGATGACAGCAGGTAGGTAGTCCAGGCAAACGATGAAGAAATGGAAACAGTCAAAACACTTACGAGTCATCTGTAAACGTTATTCCAAAGTACTCCTTTTCTTTCAGGTTGAAATGTGAAGCCACCAGGTCCAGCAACTCTCTCGATAAAAGTTTGGGCTGTCAAAATAAAAATCTGGTTAGGAGCAGTTTGGTTGCACCTCTCTCTCCATTGCTAAATAGTTTAAAGAATCTTTTTGTTTGTTTTGTTTTATTTGTTTTTTTTTTGAGACAGAGTCTCGCTTTGTCGCCCAGGCTAGAGTGAGTGCCATGGCGTCAGCCTCACTCACAGCAACCTCAGACTCCTGGGCTCCAGCGATCCTCCTGCCTCAGCCTCCCCAGTAGCTGGACTACAGGCATGCGCCACCATGCCCGGCTAGTTTTTTCTATATATATCAGTTGGCCAATTAATTTCTTTCTATTTATAGTAGAGACGGGGGTCTGGCTCTTGCTCAGGCTGGTTTCGAACTCCTGACCTCGAGCAATCCACCCGCCTCGGCCTCCCAGAGAGCTAGGATGACAGGCGTGAGCCACCGCGCCCGGCCTGTTTGTTTGTTTTGAAATACCTGCACCCATTTGTTCATGAGGTTGATTTGCTATAGACCATTCTCTAAGAGTTGTGGGAAAGAGGGAAGATGGAAACAGGAGTATCAACGAGACCATCATTTTCATGTATTTGCAACTCATTTGAGTGCCTCACTTTCTTCCTCTAAGGTAACAGTGTGCTCACTGATACGTTGGTGTCTTGGAAAAAAAAATACTCTTTTATGTGTAGCATGACGCTAGTGTCTAAGACAGAGAATATTAAACATCTCACTGCCTGGTTATATGTGACACTACTATAAGATTGTAGGTCACGCCTGCAATCCCAGCATTTTGGGAGGCTGAGGTGGGAGGATCTCTTGAGGCCAGGAGTTCAAGACCAGCCTGGGCAACATAGCAAGACCCTGTCTCTAAAAAAAAAAAAAAAAAAATTGTATTAATAGAAATAATGACTTGATGGTTTGAAGGCTGGATGTTGGCTCTCAGGGAAGAAAAAAAATAAATAGGCACATGACTTAAAAAAGAAAGAAAGAAAAGAATCAGGCAGAAATCCAGACTAAAAAGTCTACTTTGGTGAAACTACTGTTGACTGTGCTATTTTCACTCAAATTGATGCCTAGGCAATAGTGGGCTAGGACAAGCCTTGGAAGGGAAAATAATTTAGGTTCGGGCAAAAGAGGGAATTCTAGCGTGGGTGTGGTCTGTCTGCAGAGACTTCTGCAATTTCTCAGGACTCCTGGTGCAGAATGTTGGTTGCAAAAAGAAGCATCAACAGCTAAAATGCGATCATTCATACAGCACCACACACGCGACGAAGACGTCTCGCTCACATATGCAGCCTGGCCTGATTTTACCCCCGACTCTGTGACGAAGGCTAGGTCGTCTAGTTCCCGGTTTTTAGCGTGCACGGCGCCATGCAGCTAGAGCGGCAGAAGGCAGGGTCTCACCGCACAGAAACTCTCCCGGGGAAGTACTGCGGTGCCCAATTTTATCCTAAAGGGGTCGGAGAAGTAAAGCCATTTGCCCAGGGTCACACGGCTACCGAGTGTCTCTGAGACCACGTCACGGGCTGAAACCAGGAAGTCATGCACGGACCGAGTGTTTTGACTTGAAGCTGCCTTCTTTCCCTCCTCAATCAATGGGAGTCGCTGGCTTGGAGGCGCAGATGAGGGAACGGCCTGAACACAGACCCGGGGCTCAGAGAGGGAACCAGGATGGGGATCCCCGAGTATGCGACTCCCACCTGGGCAGACCTGCTTGAGCAACACCCACCTGTCAACACCTACTGGGGGGGACAACTACCTGGATAACACCCACCTGGGCAACACCCACCTGTGCAAAACCTACCTGAGCAACACCCACCTGGGCAACACCCACCTGAGCAACACCCACCTGAGCAACACCCACCTGGGCAATACCCACCTGAGCAACACCCACCTGAGCAACACCCACCTGGGCAACACCTACTCAGGGAAACAACTACCTGGATAACACCCACCTGAGCAACACCCACCTGAGCAACACCCACCTGTGCAACACCCACCTGGGCAACACCCACCTGAGCAACACCCACCTGGGCAACACCCACCTGGGAAACACCCACCTGGGAAACACCCACCTGGGCAACACCCACCTGGGAAACACGAGCAACACCCACCTGGGCAACACCTACTGGGGGGGACAACTACCTGGATAACACCCACCTGAGCAACACCCACCTGGGCAACACCCACCTGGGAAACACCCACCTGGGAAACACCCACCTGGGCAACACCCACCTGGGAAACACCCACCTGGGCAACACCTACTCGGGAAACAACTACCTGGATAACACCCACCTGTCAACACCTACTCGGGAAACAACTACCTGGATAACACCCACCTGAGCAACACCCACCTGTCAACACCTACTGGGGGGGACAACTACCTGGATAACACCCACCTGGGCAACACCCACCTGAGCAACACCCACCTGTGCAACACCCACCTGAGCAACACCCACCTGTGCAACACCTACCTGTGCAACACCTACCTGTGCAACACCTACCTGTGCAAAACCTACCTGAGCAACACCCACCTGGGCAATACCCACCTGAGCAACACCCACCTGGGCAACACCCACCTGAGCAACACCCACCTGTGCAACACCTACCTGTGCAACACCTACTGGGGGGGACAACTACCTGGATAACATCCACCTGAGCAACACCCACCTGAGCAACACCCACCTGGGCAATACCCACCTGAGCAACACCCACCTGGGCAACACCCACCTGAGCAACACCCACCTGTGCAAAACCTACCTGAGCAACACCCACCTGTGCAACACCCACTTGGGGAAACAACTACCTGGATAACACCCACCTGGGCGACACCCACCTGTGCAAAACCTACCTGAGCATCACCCACCTGAACAACACCCACCTGTGCAAAACCTACCTGAGCAACACCCACCTGTGCAACACCCACTTGGGGAAACAACTACCTGGATAACACCCACCTGGGCGACACCCACCTGTGCAAAACCTACCTGAGCATCACCCACCTGAACAACACCCACCTGGGCAACACCCACCTGAGCAACACCCACCTGTGCAACACCTACTGGGGGGGAACAACTACCTGGATAACACCCACCTGAGCAACACCCACCTGTGCAAAACCCACCTGTGCAAAACCTACCTGAGCAACACCCACCTGTGCAACACCCACTTGGGGAAACAACTACCTGGATAACACCCACCTGGGCGACACCCACCTGGGAAACACCCATCTGGGCAACACCCACCTGAGCAACACCCACCTGTGCAAAACCTACCTGAGCAACACCCACCTGTGCAACACCCACTTGGGGAAACAACTACCTGGATAACACCCACCTGGGCGACACCCACCTGGGAAACACCCATCTGGGCAACACCCACCTGAGCAACACCCACCTGTGCAAAACCTACCTGTCAACACCCACCTGTGCAACACCCACCTGATCAACACCCACCTGTGCAAAACCCACCTGTGGAACACCCACCTGTCAACACCCACTTGTGCAACACCCACCAGTGCAACACCCACCTGATCAACACCCACCTGTGCAAAACCCACCTGTGGAACACCCACCTGTCAACACCCACCTGTGCAACACCCACCTGTGCAAAACCTACCTGTCAACACCCACCTGTGCAACACCCACCTGGGCAACACCCACCTGAGCAACACCCACCTGTCAACACCCACCTGAGCAACACCCACCTGAGCAACACCCACCTGTGCAACACCCACCTGTGCAACACCCACCTGTCAACACCCACCTGGGCAACACCCACCTGGGCAACACCCACCTGAGCAACACCTACCTGTGCAACACCCACCTGTGCAACACCCACCTGTCAACACCCACCTGAGCAACACCCACCTGTGCAACACCCACCTGAGCAACACCCACCTGTGCAAAACCTGTCAACACCCACTTGTGCAAAACCCACCTGAGCAACACCCACTTGTGCAACACCCACCTGTGCAACACCCAGCTGTGCAAAACCTACCTGAGCAACACCCACCTGTGCAACACCTACCTGTGCAAAACCCACCTGTGAAAAACCTACCTGTGCAAAATCTACCTGTGCAACACCTACCTGTGCAACACCTACCTGGCAACACCCACCTGTGCAACACCCACCTGAGCAAAAGCTATCTGGGAAACAACCACCTGGATAATACCCCGCACCCCTGAGCAACACCCACCTGAACCAGCAGCTCCAGTCTCCTGTCGTCCAGGAGGTGCACCTGGCAGTGCCTGCCTTCTGTCATCTGTGGGGACAAGACAGCAAGAGCCGGGTCAGGGACAGGGCTGGCAAGCAAACCCTAGACTCGCTGTGTCACTTATTTTATACGGGATAGGATCAGCCTAAAAATGGCTTCAGCTGAGTTAATCCACAGGCGTGGCTAGAAACAGATTTATTACACGGCATGAACTTGCATTTATTTTTATTTACTTATTTTTCTTGAGACAGAGTCTCACTCTGTTGCCCAGGCTAGAGTGAGTGCCGTGGCGTCAGCCTCGCTCACAGCAACCTCCAACTTCTGGGCTCAAGCGATCCTCCTGCCTCAGCCTCCCGAGTAGCTGGGACTACAGGCACGCGCCACCATGCCCGGCTAATTTTTTCTATATATTTTTAGCTGGCCAATTCATTTCTTTCTATTTATAGTAGAGACGGGGTCTCCCTCTTGCTCAGGCTGGTTTCGAACTCCTGACCTCAAGCGATCCACCTGCCTCGGCCTCCCAGGGTGCTAGGATGACAGGCGTGAGCCACCTCGCTTGGCCCATGAACTTGCATTTAAAAGAAGAAAAGAGGCTGGGCGCGGTGGCTCACGCCTGTCATCCTAGCACTCTGGGAGGCCGAGGCAGGAGGATCGCTTGAGCCCAGGAGTCTGAGGTTGCTGTGAGCGAGGCTGACGCCACGGTGCTCACTCTCGCCTCGGCAACACAGTGAGACTCTGTCTCAAAACAAAGAACAGAACAGAAAACAAAGGCTGGTCAATACATTGAAAACATAATGCCTGTACACCAAACCAAGTTC